AAAACACAGCCAAGACAAGTTACTCTGTGCAGACCAAAGGTCACCTTTATGTTATTTGATATGGTAACGTGAGTGCACATGAGCTGCATCATTGTAATTTCTGTATTGTTAGCCAGGAATGGCTGAAAAGTCAATATAATAAAAACATATAAAGGTATGATGTTATGAGATTTAAGCTATTTCGTCTAAACATTTATGTTTTCGTGTTATAATTTCTAGAATGAATAAGGCATAATTTATGTTTATTTCTTAATTTTTTATGGCGGTTGTGAGATTGGGCAAATCTACCGAACCCATACAGAAATTAATTACTGAAAATAACAGATAAAACATAAAGCTTTTTCTTAAGAAATGTTTGATAACTATCCGGACACTATAAAGATTTCACATGTGAAATTTCAAAATTTTCTGATGCATAAAAGTATTTTTAATCTTAAAATGAAAATTACTTTGCATGATAGATAGGCACGATGTGAAAAAAAAAAGGCATGAAAGAAACAATGCTTTACAAACCTTAAGGCTTAATAAAAAAAATTACATATTTTGTGTATTAAAGCATTGTAATGTTTACTCATAATCTGACAAATTCATTCACATTTGCTAACTAATTTAAAAGTTATACCATGAAAACAATAACAAGCACAAAATGGTTATGAGGTCGGTCTCAGGGATCGAGCCCGGGCTGAAAAAGTTAAAAACCTTTTGATATTCATTTAGAAGACTCTAGAGATTATGCAAATGAAATGTGAAAACTGTGAGATAATAAATAGTATTCTTGTACTCAAAATTAAAATCATCTTATATGTTAACTATTCAGTCTGAGTGCAAATAACTACATTATAGAACAAATATTTTATTAAATTAGTAGAAAAACAAAAATTGAATATTTTATTTTTCTGAAACTACATACTTTTAGGAAAGTTCATGCCATATTTCAAACAATTTCATCCACTACTTTCACTTTTGTAAAGAACTTTCACGAGAGTTACATAACCTACTTACAAAACTAGTAAGTCATCATAATAGGGTTAAACACATGAATTTAGGTTGAATTTAGCTCAAGGCTAATGACATGCAAGGAATATAGCTGTTCTGTGTGTGTAAGTAAGGTAGTCTCGAAAGTTTTTTCAAGTGATATACAACGTATTATGAAAATTTTCTTAAACACACACACACACACACACAAAATTAAAAATAAACTTACTATGTTTTCCAATACAGCACAAGAAATTAAAAACTGCTTACTAAATTTCATGAAAATTGATAGAGCAGTTTTAATTCAACATCACCCTTTTGGAAGCTTTTTGTTAAAACTTCGTGTACCTTGTCCAGCTGATAAAGAAATACAATTAACCCTATTGTCACAGATATCCTTTACTGCACATAACACAAAGTTTTAGTGTCCTACATTCAATACTTTATTAAACTAACTTTTTTTTATGTTATACAAATTAGTATAGCATAAAATCTTAGCTAATAATCCATATCTTAATGGTATATAACTTTTAAGTTCTTAATTGTAGAAAGCAATATTTTAAAAAATCCTGAATTTCCCCTAATGTGATACACATGGCACATTTTTTCTAGGTATCTTCTGTTCTCTATTTTATCCACCACCCCTCCAAAATGTACATAAGTAAACATAAGTTGCTCACGATAAAATTGTCATTGCTCAGACAAACCATAATTTTTATAGCCTTCAATTTTGTTTGATTACAGAGCTGTCAAATAGAAAATCAGACCCCTCCTGCCACACCCACCTGTCACATCCTTTCTTTCAGAGTTTGTTAATAGTTCTCTCTTACATTTAATTATACACTACCTATAATCAATAGAAAGTCGAGGTTTTCATCTATCAAATGACATATTGTATAACAATGTGTTTTGAACAGATACAATTTCATCAATTTCACTCAGAGTACAAGCTCCATTCCCATAGCTTGGATGAATTTGTAATGGCTCTTGTCACATAGTTAGAAAGCCAGAAAAATTTTGAGTTTGGGGAAATTGTCTACTTTTTGCATGTTATTAGTCTATGTTCTTTGGTGCATTATTTAAAAAGAAGATTGGATAAGTACTTTGTTTCTTGTTTTTCATGTTCATTCTTCATTTATTATTCTAAAAGTAACTAAAATTTAAAAATGGGGATCTTTTTAGGTTAGTTATGATTAAATTAGGTAAAATAAATAATAATAATAATGTAATAAAAATGTTTCACAAGGCACACATGAGAGTAGCTTGTAGTAGCTCCTGGGTAATGTAATTTGATATTGTAACATGAGCTGCACTTTCCCAGTGATTTACAACTTATAATGGTGCAGATGGTAGTTAGACACCATTCAAAGGGCAATAAAACAATAAACTTTTGTTATAAATAGATGTATACTGTTATGAGCTTAAAGCTACTTAGGAGAAGCAAATGTAGTTTCATGTTAGAATTTGAAGTCATTCTAGATAGAAAAAAAGGGTAATTTAAATATATTTTGATTTTTTTTTATTTTTTTTTTGTGGTTACGAGGTTGGCAAATTGACTGATCCCATATAGAGATATGGTAGAGAACATAACAGATAAACTAAAACGTTTTACTGAAAAAAGTTTGAAATGTATCAAGGAGGTTTTATGAATTACACAAAGGAAATTTCTAGACAAAAACCACTTCCGACCACAAAACCTGGACACCATCCACAGAAAGTGATGCTCTGCATTTGGTGAGACATCAAAGGAGTAATTCATTTCAAACTCCTCAATCCACAGTGAACTATCAATGCAGAGATCTACAACCAGCAACTGGAACGTTTAAATCAAGCCCTTCATCAGAAACGCCCTTCACTCATCAATCGGAAAGGTGTTCTTCTTCTCCACGACAATGCACGTTCACATGTGGCATGTCTGACACAACATAAGATTATGGAGTTGGATTTGGAAGTTTCCTCCACCCACCATATTATCCAGATATCGCACCATCAGATTACCATCTTTTTCATTCACTGCAACATCATTTTAATGGGAAAACATATGCAAATGTGAAAGATGTCAAAGAGGACATCGACATGATTTATTTGCTTCAAAGCCAAGTGATTTCTTTAATCAGGGCATTAATAACCTGATTGTAAGATGGAAAAGCATCATTGATAAAAATGGAGACTATTCATTTAATAAATGTTTTGTTTTAATATATAAGTTGTTCAGGTTTTTTCATCTAAAAAAAAGGCAACATTAATTTCTTGAGGGCCTAATATGTGATTTTTTGTATGTGAAAGACTTATAATGTTAACTTGAAAAACTGCCAAATTTTGTGAAGATATACACACTATATTGAAAGTTAAAACTATTAAATCTATAAAGACTTTAAATGAGTACAAAGGGGTCACGTAGTCAGTCAAATTGACTTAAAATATGTTTCATGTGTAGTTCATTTTTCTTTAAATGTATCATATTTGGCTTATGTCTGGTAAAGAAAATTTTGTAGCCTTTTAAGTGTGTTTGAGGACCACATTGGCTGGCAGGTTGGTTTAAGTTATCCACCACTGTTCTACGTGTTCTTACAAGAAACAGCTAGAACTCAAACAAAATATCTTTTCAGATTTTCTAATAAAACTTTATCAAAGGATTGGTTCTATCCCCCTCACTGTACACACTGAAACATAGTTCAATTAGACGATTTCTAACCAAGTTAATACACCATCAATTTAAGTGTTCAAACACATGTGAATTAGAAGATTAATTCTAACCCAATCAAAAAATATTACTGTAAGTATTTAAACAAAAGAGATTAGAAAATTTGTTCCAATGCAGTCAAAACAACATCACAGTAAAGGTTCAAGCACAATGAATTAATAATTAATTCTAACCAAATCAGAACATCATTGCTGTAAATATTCAAAACACAACTAACTTAGAATTAAAATAGTCTTTAACCAACCACAGTATCTTTAACGTAGATATATTATCTAATTTAAATAGACTATAATATCCATTCAACCTAACTAAATTATATTAACATAGAGGTTCTAATAATGAAACAGTGTCAACAAAATTTTCCCTTAAAAAGCTTGATCATAATTATAAAGCCACAGTGTGAACCTAATACATCAAAATAAAAATACTACAAATAGGGTACGAAACTGATGAATCAATGTATTCTAATCATTACAAGTTTTTATATTGACTCAGCATACTCCTAGTCAGGTTAATATATTAATTACTTCTTTCATTTTTAGTTCTGATCTATGAAGATAGCTTACTTTGATTAGAAGTGAATAATAATATATAATTACCTTCTTCATGCTGTCCTCCAAGTTTTCACTATTATCATTCCATGTACTAAATGTGTGTGGACTAATACTGCCAACCCGTTGTTTCAGAGATTTGGCCACTGATGTGAGAACTCCTTCCCTAGTGTGGGGAAAAAGTGTAGTTGTCACAGTTTAGACAGTTCAGAATTGTAGTCCTAGATATACTTAAAATACATCTTACAATTAATAATACACCACCAGATTGTTAAAGAGATCAGAATTAAGAAAGATCAGTGCACCTAAGAGTACAGTTGTTGTCCTAGAAATACTGAAAATACATTTTACAGTTAATGACATCACCACTAGATTGTTTAAAGATTTCAGAGTTTAGAAAGGTCAGTGCACCTAGGAGTACAGTTTTAGTCCAAGATATAATGAAAATATACTTTATAATCACCACCACTAGGTTTTAAAGTGATCAGAGTCAAGAAAAGTTGGTAGATCTGTGACCACAGAAACACCACATTTTACAGTTTTACACCACAACCACCATTAAGTTATTTAATAGATGTAACACTAACCTTTTCAAAGCTTTCATTTTAATTCATCATTACAATAAGAATATATTTTCAGCAGTATCACATTTAAACTGTGCAAATTCTACAGTTCCCATATTCATGCATATAGTTTTATATCAATTAACAAGGAAGGGGCAGACAAGTAAATTAAAAGTTTGGAGACAGCTTCAATGGGTAATGAAGAAAATTTACTATAAATAAATTGTTTTATTGAATTTATTTAAATAGATCTCAATAAATTTTCATCTGTCTTTTAGAGCTGAGAAATAAGTGGTAGTTACTAATTGATTAATCAACGGGTTCATTAATCTAGTACATCTGAATAATCAATTAGTATACCTCGCCTCCTACAACCTGTAAAGCAAAAAAATATATAAAAAACAAATGAGTAGGCACTGTTCATCTTAACATTTCAAACCACAGCATTACTCTAAAATGGTATTAGTATTCTTGTTTTCTTTTATATCATTTTGTTGTTTTCTTAAAGTAATTTTCAAATTACCCCTTGGTTCACATGATAGAACTCTTCCGAAGATTTTCATTTGCATATTTGCAAAAAACATTCCTTGTCAAAAAATATCTTCTATTGAGTTTTATGGAAAGTTTCTACTTGGCGGATGAATCACGAATATCGACTAAATACCATCACATGATAGCCATTGTTTGTTTTTCAAATATTCAGTAATCTCACAATGATGTTATATAAATCAAATAAATTGATAATTAAATAATGAAAAGATGTTTTATGCTAAAGATAGGGGAAGTAATATTTTTATTTAAAAGATGTCAAAATTACAGTTATAAATAATTAAGTAGCCAGTTACCCAATATATTTATGTGCATTGTTTCAATAGGAAAAACAATATTGAATAAAGATTTGAGTCATCAAAATATTTTGCAATCACCTACTGTACTCATTAAATAGTGAATTTCACTTATCTGATGTGATAAAAATCTTATTCTTATCTGGAGAACATAATAAATAAAACCTTATGTTTACAGCCAACTTAAAACTAATGATGACAAAATCTTCTCCAAGCATTTTATATTTTTCACTGTAATTTAAAAAAAAATTCTTTTTTACCCATTCAACCCATCTCTAAACTGTATATGCTTATCAACCTTATCTCAAGTTATCTGATGTCTTCTCACTGAAGTCAATTTCTATAGCTTTTAAACAGATATAATTTAACACACAAGTACTTTCACAATTCACAAGGAAGAGAACATTTACACAAACTACAAAAAAGAAATATTTGGTTTGAATTTCATACAAAGCTACACAAGGGCTATCTGCACTAGCCATCCCTAATTTAGCAGTGAAAGACTAGAGGGAAGGCAGCTAGTCATCACCACCCACCACCAACTCTTGGGCTACTCTTTTACCAAGGAATAGTGGGATTGACTGTCACATTATAATACCCCCACAGCTGAAAGGGCAAGCATGTTTGGTGAAACAGGGATTCGAACCTGTGATCCTTGGATTGTGAGCCAAGTGCCTTACCACTTGGCCAAGTCGGACTACAAAAGAAGTTTAAGAAGTTTTAAACCTATATATTTATTAGTATGTGATGTCTAATTCTTGCTCTATCCAATCATATATACTTTCTTTATAGCTGTTTTCAAAACTGTGTTTTATCAGTAAATGATCAAACCACTTGGTATGACACCATATAGCAAGGTTTCAACCAAGACCAATACAAAAACTAAGGGAAATGGTTGAGAATCAAGTAGTAAATAATATATTTTGAAGGGGGTGATACATTCTTAGTAGAAATAGTTATTCTTTGAGATAAGCATAGAAATTCTAAAAAAAAAAGACAATCAACAAGTTAAAATCGTTTAAATACTTAGAATTAATGTATCAAATTTCCTTAAACATTTGTGGCAAAAATATATCAAAAGCTAGAGGAAATTCTGTCTTCAAGCATAATAATTTAAGAGTAGTTTATTTTGTTCATCATAAACTTGTACATGAAAATTTATCATACATGTAAGGTTGTATAAAACCTGTAACAACTTAAATATAATGTGATCAATAGCGTTTCGCATGACTACTGTACTAAAAACTACTGAACTTTTGTTGATAAAAATAAATACATTACTCAGTGATATTTTCAAACGACAAATTTTTATATAAAGTTAAACATTATCACCCTAAAAACATCCAAAATATAATACTTAACAAAATGACTAGTTTCAATTATAGGTTTACATCATATGCAAGTTAGTTGACTGCTTCATTCATTTTTGGAAATAAATTATTTTTCAAAACACATACAAAAGTCAATACAGATATTTGATGAACAATACTGATGCTCATAAAACAAAAACAAGTAATTATGTTAAACATTTTTCAAACAAATAATTGATGCAAGCTTCAAATTAGGTTAAACACTGTTAGGTTAAGCTGTTAGTCAAGACAAGGTCAGTCCAGGGTGTTGAAATGGGGGGGGGGTTCCAGATAAACCTCTACTAGCACTGTATATATATTGATAAATTTATATTACTTGCATTATTCTTCTACTGATAACTATACACTACTTGTAGCTTTAATAATAAAATCAATTAAAAATCCTACAACATTATTAGTAGTAGATCAGCTGGGTTATAATCCAATGATTTCAAGGTTTACATCTTTATTTTTAGTAATGTGATTGATACATAAAAAAAACAGTTACAGACAAACATTTCATACTTTGTAATTAAAACAAATGGTTTATAATTATATTTAGAAAAACAAATACAAAGTCTACACCTGAATTCATATTTTGGCATTCATAAACAGGATGCCTGGTTTTGATTATTTTTAAGTATTCACTCATAGCATTTGCATTTTTATTTGCTTTACACATCAACAATATGAAAACATCTCTCTCTCAAGTAATATATCTTCCAACTAATGAAAAATCAATTTTATAACAAGTATATGTTATAAGAGCTGCAGGTATCCTAAGCAATACTAACTTTAATGAAAACAAATCTTTCAAGTTTATAGCACACATATTGCTAGTGTTTAATTGAATTCATATTGTTTATTTGTTTAGGAATAATTGGTTATTGGCTGAAACAACAGGCAGATTGTTGTATATTCCAGCAGTGTTCATTAAAGAAAAACTGAACAAAAAAGCTTTTACTGTATTTAATAAAGCAGTCAAATAAAATATTTGCATCTGATATTGGTTTTTGACACTATATGGTTGTTTTTTATTAATTTCCAAAAACAATGGAGGGGTTTGGACCCCCAAGTCTGTACTTAATTTTATAACATTATTTAATACAGTTATTAATTTCTGAAATAACATAGGTGGAAAGGATGGAGTTTTGCCCCCCCCCCTTTGACCCTTCCCTTAACATGTGCTTGCTTATACAACAATAAATAATATGGTTATAAGTTTCTGAAAACATGTGTGTGAGTTAACCCCCTGGAACCCTCCATAAGAACTGCACCTCCTTATACAAAATTAAAGAATACAGTTATTAATTTAAAAAAAAACTGATGGGAAGATCTGGATCCTTTAGCCCTCCACCAAATGTGCACCTGCTTATACAAGATTAGAAAATATAATTACACAGTTCTAAATTAGAAACATAATAAAATGTAAAAAACAGTAAATTTATTCAATACTTATGAAGCCAGATAGTTGGCAGTGGGAGCTACCTACTAGTTACCTTCCCTTTACTCAGCAGTTCAAAACTGATGACAGTGGCTGATAGCCTTAGAAGCTTTGCAATAATTGAAGATGAGTAAATTTGGTGGCAATTGAAATCAAACCTAAACCCTCAAATCATGAAGCATCCCCCCCAACTTATTTTGTAGTTTGTGCTTAACAACAAACAAACATAATGGCAATATTTTGATTACTTGGACATTTGGAATAATCAAAATGGTAAATGAACAAAAAACATAATTTTGATTAGTTGATCATTTTTGTGACAATTGAGTTAATGATTGTTGAAATAATGGAAAATGATAATAATTTTAAATACTAATTTTGATTAGTTGATTATTTTGTGACATTAATGCATTAATCATAATTTCAATTAATTAATTAGTCTATGAGACACTAATCGAGGTAATTGCTGCTCACAGGTAACTGATTAAACCAATTAAATTGCCCAACTCTGCTATCTTTACAGTGGTTTCACTACACTTAGTAACAGTTCTGTGGTGTAAATACATTAATAATTTACTACATAGTGCTATGTATTAGAGTAACAATAAACCTTAAGAAATAAACACATGATAGTAAATAAAGTATAAGATCAAAAAAATAATAATTTACAAAGCAAAAAACTTGATAATCCAGGTGTTTGAAATACAGACATTCCTGCTTCATGGATGAAATATAAATATTTTTTAGGTTTTGAATACCATGATATATTGTTTCTGTTAAATTAGAAGTTATTTAAATTTAACCTTTAGACTGAGAACTTGCTTGTTTTTAGGAGGAAAAAACATATTTCATTAATATGTACAAAAAAGATCTAACATCAGTAATATTTAATTTCATTCATTTGTTGCATCAATCATTGCATTTTTGTGGTTTAGCCATTTTACAGTTTTTTCAAAATCTCTGTTGTTAAATACTTAACCTCTGTTTGTTAGATGACAAAATACTACTGTACCTTTCCCTTGCCTTCATTTCATTTAACTCTGCATCTAACTTCTCATTGATTTGCTGAAGTCTGGCAATTTCAGTCTCATAGCAGTTAGATGAACCTGTAGCAGCATCACCAACAGCTTCTATTAAGAAGCAAATCAGACTTCTTTCTTCAAAGATAAATTGCATATAACTTTATCCATACAACACATTATGATTGTACATTAACTTAAAAACTAAGTAAATTACTAGCTTACATACACAGTGGACAGATGGCTGCTGTCGTATTTAACTCCACTGATGCCCAACAAGCAAGTATCAAGATCCACAATAAACAGAAGATTTAAAAAATGTTTTGCAAAGAATAAATCAAACAAATAGCAAAGGAATCAGGAATCACATAATTGTGAAAACAAGAAACAACAATTTTATTACATACATACTAATGTTGAAATATACTGGGGTCTAACTGATAAAAGCTAACTTCTTTGTTGGTTTGAACAGTCTGGCTGCAGAAGCAGAGAAAGTCAGAAACTGCAAAATTGTCTACACTCGATTAAATACAAGAGTAATGTATCCACAGCACACTACTTAGGCAGACAAAAGCCTGCAGTATAACACAATGCTACATTGTCTACATTAGCAACCATTGCACTGTGTAAATCCAAGGGAAGATTAACACCCCAGCTCATACAAACATCTGTATAACCCCTCCTCTTGGGTATAATTCACAACCTACAGAAGTGATGACACAGAAACACAGTCAAGCAAGTATACCCTTTATGAAATTGTCACTGTGAAATGTAATCCCATTTTAAGGTGAGGATTAATGTTTCTGACTCTTCACATCCTGATCACAAGAATGTCAGCTAAGTGCAAACCACTTATGCATAAATTTTGATTTAATCCCAGAATATACCTGACCAAAGATATATTCATTTCTAGTTTTGAGTGTATAAAACACAGAAGTTTTCCAACTGCTACACTGCTTAAAGCTTAAACTCTGGTAGCTTGGGTGGTAGAGCATCAGTTAAGATAGATATATGAAAATCCCAACCCTGATATAAAATGTCCAGTAAATATTTTATTTCGGGCAATGAATATTTTTCTCCATGTAATTCAAAATTGTTGTTTTGTTTTTACTTTCCTTATTAAATTCTAAATTAATGAAATTTTCCACTTGTACCTGTCAGAATCTCCTGGAGAGATGCTATCTCTTCCTTACATTTCTGCTTTTCATTTTCAATTTCGTTATCTTTTTGACACTCCACAACAGCCAGAAGTGATTTAGTTTCTTCTAATTCCTTTAACAGCTGCCTTACTTTCACTTCCAGAGCCTTACTTTTTGTCAGTGGATCATCAAAAATGGAACAGTCTCCATCTTTCAATGCTGTGTATGATACTGTTACCAATTTTTTACTTTAAAAAGTTATATACTTCTTGAAACTATTGAGCTCTCTTTGCTCTTTCATCCACTTGAAAAATAAATGTACACAGATAAAGTTCTAAAACTTATAATCTATGCTATAATACATTTTGATACCATGATAAACCAAAGAACAAAATGATAACATGTTTATACAATATTCAGAATGGTTAGAAGTACTACAAGCACTCACAATTTTTCCTCAGCAATACAATTAAAATTTAGTAAAAAAAATAGAAAAATAATAAATCAACACCCATTAGCCAAACTGTTTTAAGTTCTTGATGAAAAAACAGTATTACAACTTATGCACAGATTATATCAGAGGGCAACAAAATAATAAATGTATACAAACTGCTCTCACTAATAATTGAACCAACAGAAGTTCTAAAGTGTCAAAATGTTTTCAAGAGGGACTCATTCAACCTGAGTTATTTCTCATTGTCATAACATTAAAGCTTTTAGTTTACCTTGTAGTTTCCAGTGTACAAAGTTGAAGAGCAATTCACAAGTTCACATGCTCTAATAATCAGATTTGTATTACCTTGTTCACATGCAGGTTATGCTATTACGTGACTACCTTTGGAAAAGTGGCTAAGGAATAGTGAATTCTTTCTAATATTTTCTCTAAAATTGAAAACATTGTACAGTTTTTGAAAATGACAGAATAGATGTATTGGACTTTGAAAAATATTTCTAGCAATTTTCTAAACTAAACACTCGCTAAAAACATTAAAAACCTAAAGGTCAAACTAGCAAAATATATACATAATTATTTTCAAATTGACATAGAAAATACAGTAGTGAAATACAATTATGTATCTTTACTAGTCATACAAGGTATAATTATGTTAGAAGCTTAAGCTTTTCTGGTAGTCAAAGTTAAACAATTTGAAAGGCTCCTGTTTCAGGGTTGTTTTTGTAAAAAAGATTGTAACAAGTACCAAGAAATAGATCACCTGCAGAAGAACATTTATTGCAGGAATATAAGACCACCAAATTTAGGCTTAAGGTGGGAAACACCATGAATTTTACATTCTATTTTTCTGATTCTTTTTCAACAGAAAGAACTTTTCCATATACTCAAAATGGATAAAATGTGATGGGATAAGAAAAAGAGCAACTAGCAATTAGAGAAAGAGTAACAAACATAACATCAACAACAAAAAGCTAGACACTCTGATGGACAATGAGAATGGATTAAAGGTATTTGGTCAGAGAAACTGTCACATCTGGCAGACAGAATTCCTGGGAATATTCTTCCATAAAACAACAAGCACTTGATTTAAGGCTGATGAACAAACTGTTAAAAATGAGTCAGCCAAGTAAATAACATCAAAGGCAGATGCTCCACCTAAGTAATATTAAGCAATAAAGAAATGACTGAAAACTTGATTCTGAGAAGATGCAAAAAAGATTAAAGTAGAGAGAAATAAACCATCCATGTACTGATTAACAACATCCAAACCTCATATATTTGAATCTGCAATTACAAATCAACACAAAAAGAATCATGCAGTTAAATAACACAGATTTTAAGTTTTTTTGATAGGGTCACAGTTATGCAGTATCAGGAAAAACAAAAGGTGTGGGACATGGCCCCAAAAACTATGAGATTGAGGAGACTGAAGACCCCCAATCCAAAAGTCAAGTGAGAAAGTCCGCATAACGAGGAACAGTGGGTTGATCAGGGTGAAACCCTGGACCCAGAAATCAACAATGGAAAACATTCCATTTGCATTGAGAAACATCCATGAAGGAAAAGAGAATAAAACAAGCCAAAAAAAAGCTAACCACCATGAAGAGCCAAATCTCCTCGCCTATGACTGGAGGAAAACCAGGCGTGAATACAAAGGACAGGAAGGTCTGGATGAAACACTTGTGACTGAGGGTGACAAAGAAGGGATGGAGTCAAAGGAAGAGGTAACAGAGGAGAAAGTTGGAGCTGGAAAAGCCATGGAAACCACAGCTGAGATGGCCAGGAAGGGGCTATCAAAAAGACTGAACATGGAGTGTCAGGGACGATCGAAATCATCTGGTCCAATCTTGGCTGAAAACATCGATAGCTAGAGCATGAAGACAAGGGACTGGAGACCAAAACTAAGGCAATTTGTGGTTAGGGACATAGCAAAAGCTTCAATGTGAGGAGTACTCCACTGAAGACTAAGCCACTAGAAAACAAAAGGATCAAGAGACCACTCTGTGGAATAGATTTAGTATAGAAAGGAATACAATCTGCAATAAGAGCAAAATCATCCAGAACATGGCTTGCAATGATATGATTATCAAGCGTATGGGCCCAAAAGGAAGATCCAATATATGAAGACCGAGGAATCGAGAATGGGTGCCATCCTAGAGATTGAGATAAGTAACCACTGGAGAAACGTTTGGATCATTACCAGATGATTTCTGGCCAGATGGAGATAATGAACTAAAATACGACTTCCAGTGAATAGCTCCAGGATGTTGATATGATAAGACTTCTCGGCTGCAGACCAAAACTCCAAAGCTTCCAGTTGATTGACCCATGCCCCTCATCTCCAAAGGGATGTGTCCATGAAATGTGTAACTCTGGAAGAGGAAGTGGAACACCCACTGACACACGAGTCATGTCAAACCACCAATGCAGATGGTTGACAAGGGTAGAAGGAATGGTAATAAGAGCCAAAAAAAGTATCCCAAGCAAGATTCCACTGGTCAAGAATAGCCCACAAAAGAGCTCACACACAAGCTTGGCTGATAAGGGCTATATTGGAAGATCACATCCCCAAAAGTGACAGAACCTCGTGAGCTGTAATAAAACTGAAAGCCCCATCAAATGAAGTCGAAAAGGAGGATGTGCACAACTGACATAGGTGTCAATAAAGAAAAACACCTGAATGAACAAATTATTGGATAGGTCGCAGTAAGTACTTCTCCAACTTGATGAACCAGTCCACTACAGCCGCCTCCAGGAGCAGCTGATGAGGGTAAAAAGACTCCTGTTCAGAACGAGCTAACAGTTGCCAGTCATCCAAAGAAAGAGGAAAGCACAACTCAAAAGCACGTAAGTGATAAAAGAAATACAAAGCATACAAGGCGAACGCAAATCCGAAGGGCATTGTGCAAAACAGAAAAACCACCCCATGGAAAATAACCAAAGAGAGGGTTGTGAGTGACAAGACATATCGGGAGATGCAAATAAGCATTCACAATGTCCATCATGGTCATCTATAAAACTCAAGAAAACCCACCTGAGGGTGAGAAAAGACTAAGGTAAAACAGGGAATATTGAAAATGGATTGAGGCGGGACAAACCTATTAAATGCTGCCAGTTTCCGGTTTTTCATGAGGACAACAAACAGCCTGGAAGAAAAGCCTAGAGAAAGATGATGAACAGGTGAAATGGCCTGTTGAGACAGAAGATCTTGTACTCCTTCAGAAAAAGGTACCTGAGACAAAGAAGGTGGTGAAAGAAATAGTAGGACAAGTTTCTCTGATAAAACCCAAAGAATCCATGGATCTGTAGTGAAAGATCACCAAAGGGTAAAAATATCATATGGTCAAGCTTCTATCAGACCGGAACACTCTGATTAGACTCCAGTACTGTTGCCGACATGCCCATCTATGCTGAATAAAATGAAGAGATGACAAACCCCTGGAAGGAGGAACAGGGAAGGGTAGGTAAGAACCAGGATGGGAAACAGTAATATTGGCTTGTCATGGCTCCAACTGTGACAAACGTGCAGAAAGGGTAGTGTTGATGCTCAGACTACACACAAGATTTCAAAGTCTCAGGTACATGATTGAAAACCTACTGCCAAAGAAAAAGATCAAATGTAAATCCCTAAAAGAAAGAGGCAGCAAATGAACCTGGGACAAGGTCACATCACAACCCAGAATATCTCAACAACAGCGAAACCATGTGTGTGTAAAGTGAGAGCCAAAAATGACAAAGGAGCCAATGTGGAGGTAATAAGGAATCATAGGAAAATGGGGAAATGGATAAAACATCACATACCTGAGAAATCATGATGAAAAATGCCATATTAGTTCTAGCTGATTCTGCAGGAGGGGAAATGAAAGACACTGCAAAATCCAGTGATGTAAAAAGGCTGTTTAATCTTCATTGACCCAAACAGATTCGATTTGTTCAGGAGGATCAGTGGTGCAAGTTCAGAAGAATGAGGTTGACCCATATAATGATCAATCTCATGGCAGATAATAGCAGAGAAATCCAACTATGGGGGTCTCCCCCACCTGCAGCCTGTGAAATAGTGGTAGAGCTTTGATACCAAAAGTGGGAACATGAACCTCAAAATTTATTGGAGAAATACATAAATCAAACAAGTGTTTGACATAAAATATGCATGTGTGAGGCAAAAAATAAAGACTGGGAAATCAAGTAAAAGTAAAAGATTTATTCAATGTAAAGAAAAAATAAGGAAGAAATCCCACTTTGAAAATTAAACTATTAGAATCAAGAAAGTGATTCACACGAAGAGCACCAAAAAAAGTTTGAACACGAATACTGCCAAACAAGAAGTGATAGTTTGGTAAAATTGCATAGAGGGAGTCACTTGTATCATGATATTATGGAATATATATATATATAGATACCACTGTAGTTGTCTGGCAGAAAACCCATCTCAACAGTGGGCACTATAGAAACCAAGGCGAATGGGTTTGACACTTTCCATTACCCCTGACTCGATACAGATTTAGGGAAGTAAGTATACACTGTGAGACAACACCAGACACTTGGCGAGTTTGGAAAAATTAATGGTAGTACATTAGAAAAAGTTAAGAAAATAAAAGAGAAACTTACTCATTACAGATGGTGAGTAGACTGGAGAATAGCAATTGGAGGGAGGTGATATCTGAGGAAACAGAAACCTCTAGATGGAGGAGATAATGGGAGCAAAGGTGTTAGATGTAGTCCACATTTCCACCAGGAGGATCTTGTCCATGTGTCACTGAAAATGCAAGGTCAGAGA